AAGGGCGTGTTTTTCAGATTTTTTTAAAGTTTAATATTTAATTACACCGCTGTAGTAAAGCTGTAACTAAGTTTCTGTTTCTTAAAAAGCTGTGGTAACTGGTACAATAAAAGTCACTGGTAGATTGCATTCTCCATCTTCCGGTAGCTGATCCGTCTAGACCGATCTAAGCCAGTTTTGTCCAGTCTGACCTAACTTTCTGACAAAATGTAAGTAGCTGATTTTGAAATTTTGTTTTTCGTGATATAAACAGTTATCAAGTTCATGATTTATAACGTGGATATATACATCAACTACATCTTGCAGTATCAAACTTTATGGTGCAGATGAAGTTCTGGTTTTACCACCAATCCTACAGTATCAACCTTGATTGTACAGATGAGATTCTGGTTTTACCACCAATCCTACACTATCAACCTTGATTGTACAGATGAGGTTCTGGTTTTACCACCACAACTACATTATCAACCATAATAATATGTGTGAAAGGCTAGAACGCCGTGTAGGAAAGTCGTTTGGAGGTCGACTTAATCCAGCTTACAATAGATTTATTTGAATCCAGGTTACAGTCGCGAGTGGAGCACAAGCCACTAACTCGATCCATTTACAGTTAGACTAAATAATTGACTCTGACACTGAGATTCAAACACAACACTTTAATGCAATAAATTAAGATACTCGGCTACATAGAAATTACCGAAGTTATCTTGAAAAGTCTCACTGTTAAAACTATTAAATTCATTAACCTAAGTAGGTAATTGTTCTTCAATTAAACTTTTTATAACATTCATTAGATTACTTAATACTACCAGTATGTTATCAATTAACATATTGATTGAAATCTGCTCAGACATATCTTAATATTAAACATTGTACATCCAAATCCTAACTACGTTATTCGATTTTGAGAGAGATAACAATAGTTACTTACATGGAACTCGAGCGAGAAATAGTTTCTAGTCTTCGCAGGGGAGACATTGATATAGCAGTTTCAGTCTTCAATATAGTCGGTTTAAGAACGGTCAATAACAGGCAGGTTGATGGCCTTTCTTCAAGAGGCAGGAGACTTTAAAGATTTCAATTGACAAAATGAATACAGGACTAATAGCTATTTCATACGAGCCAAGAGACTGATTTTTAGCCCAAAACATGGGTTTTTCTACAGATTTTTTTAGTATTCTTACGATTCTCCAAATAGTGTATACATCCAACTCGCAAGTAGATTTGTCATTTAATTGGATAATTTTTGCAGACTCATCGTAATTCTCGGTACTAAAAACAAAACTCTTTCAATAATTGGTCATAGTCGAATACTGTAAATCAGCAACATGTTTGCACGTATCTATCCCAGCCTTCTTCACATCAAAGTTCCACTCAGAGTCTCTGCTTTCCTTACTAATTCCTTTTATGGAATTCATGTCGTCTCTAAGGAAGTATTCTCACGACCGTCTCTCTGCGACGATAGCGCTGGTTTATGGATAACATAAACATCTATTTCTCAATACCGGCCAGAATGCAACTCTGATTTATACCTGACCAACTTTTTCTTTCTTGTATAACTTTTCGTATGCATTAATTAGACGTGCCCAATTTTCTTCGTATTGCATTTATGTATATCACACATGGAATTTTATAAAATATTGTTACGACAGCGGAAGTCGCACGACGCTGGGAGCATGAGCGCTGGAGTTTCTTGAAGGATCATGAATTTTCCTAGCAACTCTAGTTTGTTCGAAGCGCCCTCTTTTTTTTTAGTATATAAGCCTGGCGAGAAAAACCAGTGCGATTAAAGAGATATAGATAGATTGAAGATATAGATAATTGAGTCAAGCGAACAGTCGGTACGGTAAGTAAAGTGTGTGAATCCCTGTGATTTTTAGCGTGTGTTATAAAGGTTGTTAAGTTTAAAGTGACTGTGGAAATTCTGTGTATTACTAAAAGGTGTATTGAGAAAGAATAAACTAGTTTTAATTACGAAGGGACTTGTATCGCTGAAGTTCCTCAGAAAGAATTTATACCTGAAATTAACAAACGAGCAGAGACGTAACAATATATTTCTCTTCTATTGAAGCATTTGAAAATACCGTAAAATGCCTCATATGATGAAATTCTTGCTTTTCCAACACAATTACAGTATCAACCTTCATGGTATAGATGAAATTCTAGTTTTATACTGTCAATAAATTTCCCTCACATATTTTTAATAGGTTCAGAACTGCAGTTTTCATAACACACATGGAAGATGACTAACTCTACTAGTGCAATTTCAGTTATAAGATAGAGTTGCCGATAACAAGTAGCGCTGTAAGTGTTAACTTATAGGTGACCCAATCTGCAATATGGCTAAGTATATTCAGTGTAACTTCAGTTATAGAATAGGGTTAATGAAAACAGACTAAGTATAATCATTTTAAGTTTAGTTATAGGATAGGATCAGATTGGTTCAACTAGTTCTGGTTGGATCAGAACATACTGGTCTCGACTAGAACAGACCAGACCTACAATTACAACGAAGTAAAAGGGCATACAGGTCTATATAACATATCCCTACCTTTATATTGTACCTTGATTCGAACCGGAATTTTCGTTGGTCTATTATGTAGTTGATCAGAGTCGAACCATTTGGTAATCCTGCCTTTCTGCTCGAAACTCCATACCAAAATCAATGCTTTCTGTGGGCTGGGAATCTCTATAATATTTTATGGGTAGTGGTTTTAATATTATCATTTCTACCGTTGTTGGATATTTATGTGGGTGGTACCTTACTTAGTAGCAACATTTATATTATTTTTAAGTCTTCCTTGTAATAAAATAAAATCTACCTTTGAACTTACTGAGTTAGGTATGGCATATCAATACTATATTTAGAAATACTGAAAAATTGCACTCGAAATTTACAAAAAACCAACTGTGTTTGCATTTCTTAAATGAATGTAAATGCTTAAAAGTTTTTCTTCGCTTCCTTAATTTTAAGGTTTCCATCCCACAATTTCGTTATTCTTAATTTTGCTCTTAATCTCTAAGTAAGAATTTTAATTCACTTGAACATCAAATAAGTTTCATCGATTTTTTAAAATTTAAAACATTTTATTGAAATACACAATAACAAAATTCTGGTAAAAACTAAATATACCAAATTGGATAAACTAATTAATTTGAGGCCAAATTTAGGTAAAAATTATTTTATAGAAAATCCTGATAAGGTGCTATTTAACTACTCGAAGTATGTACTTAACGATGTTGAAAAAATATACTAGTTTATGGCTTAGTATTCTAAATAGAATTAAATTTAAAAAGTTTTTACAGATTTGTCACATCATTGTATATGGAGTCAATCGGGTCAGTATTTCAGTAATGTTAGAACTGAAATTAATGATTTAGCCCTGCATGCATGTGATAATTATAAACATTTTTGGCACTTAAATGACTTCAGCTTTGTGGTTTTCTTAGGTCCTGAAATATAACAATCCAATTGAATATGTAGGTAAATCATGCTGTAAAGACATTTTTTGCGGGAACGCTTTATGAATTTTCCAGTCTCCCAGATTTCTTGGTTAGACCTGGCTTGACTGGTGTTGCCATCAGCCCTGAAGTTGATATAATCAGTGGACAGGCTAAGCTCCACTGAGCGTCGACTACCAAGGGCAACATGATTTTAAAAGGACCTTCTTCTGACAGTGTGAAGAATGATGACTGTGGAACTAGTTTGTTGATAGCCTTAGTTAGTTCCTTCTTGTCAAATGTGGTGACCAGCAGTACATCTTCATCCAAGGGCTTTACTGAGGTGAAGATGAGTAGGTTCCCTCATATTTTCGGAGCGTTGGATAGCTTTTTAATTTCTATAATTGGTGAAAAAAAGCTCTTGTTGAAACTCTCCTTCTATGCTAATAGAACTTGGCAGATAAAAAAGGAGGAGAATAAGTCCTAGCAACACAACTGGCTAGAAAGATTAAGCACTTGGTGTTAAATATAAAAAAAGCCAGGACTAATCATAATTATAAACGTTTTTAAAATTAATTTCAAAAGAATATGAAGCTTTAAAAAGTCTGAGTAATAACGACATTGTTATTTCAAAATCAGATAAAAGGAATAACATTTTTATTTTGCTTTCTATGTTGTAATATGCTTAAATGATATTCTAATTATCTGGCTTGCCGTTAGTTTTCTTGCACGATGGTTAATTTTGATTGCATTTATACCGATTTTGATAAATTATTTTGAATTACACCTTTTTTTACCTCAACTCATTGTTGGAGTTTGTGTGTGTATCATGGCGTCGGTTGAGAAAGATGATTACAATCTATCTATAATTAACGTACTATTCAGTAATGTATAATTTTAACGTTCTTGGAAGAGCCTAAAATAAGGAAGGGGGGGGGTTGTAATTGAAATAGCTATTAATCGCACTATTCCTTAAATAGTTCAAAATATAATAAGGCATATTCAAGTAATTCCATAAATTTTCATGCGTTTAGTCATAATGATTTCTAATGCTTCACCATGTTTTTAGTGCCTAAACTGCTATAAACATTTTTTTTTCTTTTAGTATCCTTACCTGATTTATTCTTGGAATTATACTTCGGAAATCTTACATTTTGTGGATACTTTAAACTTATCTGTTGGATTTTGTTTGTTTTGAATTTCGCGCAAAGCTACACAAGGGCTATCTGCGCTAGCCGTCCCTAATTTAGCAGTGTAAGACTAGAGGGAAGGCAGCTAGTCATCACCACCCAACGACAACTCTTGGGCTACTCTTTTACCAATGAATAGTGGGATTGACCGTTACATTATAACGCCCCCACGGCTACAAGGGCGAGCATGTTTGGTGTGACGGGGGTTCGAACCCACGACCCTCAGATTTCGAGTCGAGCGCCATAACCACCTGGCCATGCCGGGTCTATCTGTTGGATATCATTGTATTTAAAAAGCAGAAGTACACTCGTTATTGGATTTAGTTGTTGTTGGAATGCGACTTGGGTTTCGAATGTTGCAAGAAAATCTAAGCATGAAAACTTATTTTATTAGCACTTACTTCACAAGTCCTTTAAAACTTTAGACAACATTCATACATTTCTACACTGAAGTAACAAGTATTTTTACGTACAAGTTTGAATAATTATTTTCCTGGTGCATTACGCAAATTTCACACGAAAAGAAAGTCATTTCATTTATATATATATATATAACACAAACACCACAATTCCAACATCCTATATGTATGATTTGCAGTTTACAAACCTTTTAATGCACAATAAAATAAAAAAACTATTTATTCTAAAAATTATACAAAGTCAATAAAATAAAATCAGAAAAAAAAGGATATGGTTAATTAAGAAACATATAAATGTCTTCAATGGAAATAAGTACAACTACTTAAAAGAATGATGTTACAAAAACAACACGAAATTGTTCGCAAACAATAAACAGCTGCTAAACTATGAAATTAAAAGAAACTGAGTAGCTATATAACGTAATATAAAACTAAAGTAACTTTGGCTCTGTTCATGCAAGAAGTGATAAAATTCACTGAAACTTTAATGAGCTATCCTATCTTAACTGCAGTAAAATTCCAAACAAAAATCTTAGCATTGATCAGGTTTATTCTTGTTCTATATCGAAATAATGGAGCATCTTGAAACGTCATATATAAGGGTTCAGAATTTCACAGGTTATTTAGAACTAAATAATATAATGTCCATTAAATTTGTTAGAATTTAAATGGTTTGTACATTAAATACCAAGCAATCTATGCAAGTCATATTAAAACACTCACATATCAAAATCATTTCAATATTATGTTTTAAGTTTTCATACACTTACCACATTTTACAATACACACAGAAACACGCCAACCTATAATAGCTCTACGGGTTACTTATGAATTGTGACATACAAACGTTATTTATAGAAAAATTAAAATATTAATCAAACATTAAACACAAACTATTCTCACTTTCTAGACCTAATCATCACCATTTTAATGGTAGATATGTAATATATCATTAATTAGTTTCACTTACAATGCAATTTATATTGCTACATCCTATCAATTCTTCTTCAAGCCACAGTTTTAGTTTTTATTAACATTTTCTGATTTATAACTGTATAAAAGAAAATTTCAGTAATGTATACTGTAGTGAAGTAACATAGTTCGTTTAGATATATCAACACAAACCAATACGAAAACTCGTCCATAAATCCACATGGCACACGGATATACTTACTAAGACACACACACACAATTCATTTTCCTACAATATGTTAAGGATTGACAATTTATCTTTTTAAGGTGTTACGTTTCAAGCTAATTCATCGTTTCAAAAATTAACGACAAAAGTAGATTTCGGTATATTATATATTTTTTAAAGTTTTGTTGTTGTTGAGCACAAAGCTACGAAAGGAGCTATCGAAACCCGGTTTTTAGCGTTATAAGCCACTGGGGGTATTTTCTGAAAGAGTAAAAACTTAGCCAGCTCAAGATTCGAGCCCGCGAATGTACATAATAGTACAGTTTCAGTTTTTACATAAAAAATTCTAGCTTTACTGTGAAAGAAAAAGTAAACTATTAAGTATTTATGAAAATCGATAAGATCATTAAACTAAAACATGAATCGATGTTTAGGATTACTGCTGTTACTTGTGCTTAATATTTATGGTCACAAAAATGTTTTAACGGCTTCATGCTTTTGTATTTCCCATTCCCAAATCAAAACAGTACCCGAAAGTTAACAGTAAATTCTTAAAGGAAATATTTCTACGTCTGTAAAGATGTTTAGAAAATGTGGCACAAGTTATTTTTGAAATTCATGATAGCCGACCAACAACTGTCGACAGAAGGCGCTGGCATTTAAGTATTTCGAGGCACATCACTTTCTAGATCTAATTTATTTGTTAACGAGTTTTTGTTGTATGAATATTTTATATTCCAATCAAATTTCAGTAACACCTGAACTGCAACCCCGAGACAAAGTTAGTATTAAAAAAGTTAAATCCAAAAAGCTGATTGAATCAAATAAGTGTTCTTTTTTGTGGAAAACATTTTAAATTTAAAATGTTTACCCTTTTCCTACGTTTTATGGTATTAGCCTTAAGGCTATTATTTTTTTTTTTTATAGATAAAAGCTATAAAGGTACCCAAACGGTTAAAAAGCTGTTGGAATTTAATTGAAAATTTATTGATTAATATTGTAACACTACGGTTATCTTTTCATAAAGAATAATTAAAACCACTTTGTAATTTCTATCGTTACAAATCAGATCTATCTTTACATTTTTTTATCAGTTCAAAAGATTTTCGTACAAATTCCGTTTTATTTTTACCGCAAAATATTTTTAAATAACACCAATCAAAGTTTTATAAATTAGATAACTTGATAAACAATTACCAAGGTGTCTGATAAAACGTATAGAGTACCACGCCTTTTTAAAATTTTGGTACGTACTGATAAAATGTATATAAGGTATAGCTTATGTAAATGTTCAGTAAAGAACAACATAATTATCACTCTACAAGGGTATTAATGCAATAACGCTCATCAACGTACGCAGTGTCCAATTGGAACATAGTTTCTAACCTAGAGCTTTGTTTTGTGGCTGTTCACTTTCAATAAATGTCTGAATCAAACTAGCAGGGATTAAACAAATCTATGTAACTCGTTTCACACTGTTCAAAAACGTCAAATAAAACACAGTTTTTATTGTTAAAAGTTCAAGACATACTTACTGCAAGTGCAAAATATTTTCCTTCAATACACAACCTGGTTTTCAAACAATAATAAAAAAATTGCTACTTAATTTAGAGTGAAACTATATTTTTCACACAGCAATCGGTAAGAATGCCTTTGATAAGAAAAAAAAACAACATGTTTACAAATACCAGTATCAGATTTTGTTTCTGTCACTAGAAACAAAAAATTGAATTACTTCCAATTCTTTTTCCAAATACCCATTAATAAATGTTATTTGTACCCACCTAGAGATTCAAAATTTTCAGATATTTCAACATCTGTTTAAGCTGAATAAGCGACATGACTTCAACCCTATTCACAAATGTAGAAAACAAGGTATGTACTTACACATCCTACAAAAACAGTGTTGTATGTCTAAAAAAATACAGGAAACTAAAACATTTTAACATTGCTTAAAAACGTCAAAATCTAAGCTAACAGATTTACAAAAAACAGATTTTGACATTTCTAAACACTAAGCTTAGCATGAATGAAACTGTATATATATTATACTGAAATAATACTGTTACTCAGTCACACTACACGTACTTTAAAGAAAACTGTTATTAATATATCTGTAAAGTTAAGTGTTTTTAGATGCCGAGGTAATTGCATATTTATCCTTCTACTCTTCAAAATAGTCTGAAATTCTGTGCGAAAGCTCAAACCCCATTATGCCTCAATTTTTTTTAGCAGATTTCGCTTCTAAACCATATGTTTCTTGAGTTGCTATGTTTAGTGTATATTTGCATAAACTAATGCCATGAATAAAAGTCAGTAATGAAACACTGATTAAATATAATAAACTGCTAAAACAATGATGCAGATTCAATGTTTACATACAATGGAATGGCTACATTCAACAACAATTAACGTTTTGTTTTGTAATCATACAATGCACACATGTTGTTGTTTTTATTATTATTGGGTAAACTAAATAGTGTATATATAAAACCAGTTCGTCTGCACGGAAGATGAACACATTCATTCATGGAACTAATACCAAAAAAAAGCAACACACACATGATCTGTTTGTTTACAGCATTCTTATTAGACCTTTTGCCAACAAGAAAAGTATCCGAAATTCTGAACTTCAGTTTTTGTATACTTAAGCAAATTCTCACATCACCCATTAAAATCCACAATCTTAGTTGTCCAACATTTCCAGCCAGTACCAAGTTTTGATTAGCTAAGTTGCTACAAAGTGATAATGGCTTATGGAGTTATTCTTAAACAAGTAGTCAATATGAAAGACATGGTTTCAGTTCTTTCTACGGACTTAATCAAAAGTATATCTCAACAGTGGAAGAGCAAGCAATATGATCTGTATTTTAACTAACAATGTTTTAATATATGACTGAGCTGTGTAACTAAACTGAGTTGACTAGATTTATAAATGGGTGATTATGATGTGGAATAAAAGAAAACAAGTTGTAAGTTTCCACTGGACTTCTTGGCTTTGTCTTACTAAGGTTTCACAGCATTTCATGAGTAGAAAGTGAACTGCTTGCATTCCAAGCTAACCCACTACAAAATTAAAAGCATCGTATTTGTAAATACTTTTAAAATAATCATTAATCTCAAAAGGAGTCGTTCTGGTCCATTTTACTTTTTCCTTCTTTTCAGTTCACTTGTTACTATTTGTTAAGTTGATGTTTCAATCTCTTCTTCGGTCTTGATTTCTTCCATTACATGATTGGATCCTTCTTGTCCTTCCTAGAATATCACAACACATATATGAACATTTTTCAGTTAATTGAGATAAAACAAAATATTAACTACTGTCAAATGTGAACAGTCAATAGAATGTATTTTTTGTATAAACACAACTGTTAGATACATAAAAACTGTAATTCATGCTTTTTATATGAGAAAACCTAAAACAAATTGCAAATTATTTTTTTAGATTGAACTCAGTATATGAACACAATTATGACTGAGGAATTTCATTTTAAAAGAGTAAAATTAAAACAAGAACACCAAAACAACTATAAAGCACAATCATTTAGCCCAAACAATTCTTTCTGAGAATGGATGTTTTTCATGAAATTTCAAAATCCTTTTGTCTAACTCTTGAACTCTAGGGCAAGAAAGAACTTGCTGCACTGTGAATGTAAAATTTTTTTAAAGATTTTATTCTGAACTATTTATATAATGACTAATACTGAAAGAATGAGATATAATAAATTTACACAAAAACAAATGAACTGCTAAATGTTGAACACAATTCTGAATGGTTGCTCCAACATTTTCATAATATAAACAATATTCAATACACCATAAGATTTTCTTAGCAATTTTCAAGCTCATTTTAAAAACACTAAAAATTTTATGTTAATTTCTGGTAGCCTTTTGGCTTGAAAAAAATTAAACAGAGTTAATTGTAAAATTCTGCATTAATCTAATTTTTTAACAAAGAGTAGCATTCTTGAATTTGATAGATTTATAAAACAAGCTGTTTGTCATATTTCATTTTTCGATTTCAAAAAATAATGCTGAAAAAATGTCTAAATTAGCACCAGCTATAAATAAAATATGGCAAGAAATGTTTAGAAACCTCTATTTTTTTGTTGAAGATCTGTTTATGTTGATTAATTCTAATGAAAAAGATTAAAAAGTAAAACAACTAAAGCTAAAAAATAATGTTTTGAATACTCAGGACAAATTTTTATTCCCTCAATTCATCAGTAATGTCAATAAAATATTACTTCACAAAACACCATCTGTTGGATAAGAACAGCTACTTTTCACAAAAACCCATTTCTTCAAAGATACTACTTCATCAACTGACTGATAATGCTTCATTTTCACAACACAATATCACTCCATTAAATGAAGTTATGATGTCATCCTTGATGTAAAAATAGTTCTTACACATTTATATAACCATTATGCAATTAACTAGGTAATATAACATCAACAATCCTTTTGTATGAACTTGGTGTTCTTAAAGGGTATGTATACATATATATATAAATTATACAAATTAAAACCAAAAGAAAAAGAAAGAAAAGAAAAATAATACTTCAAATTAAATAGTTTGTCCTTTTGAAACCCACAAGCAGGTTGAAATACATACAGTTTGGTCACAGTCCTCACAAAACCAGGTATAGCCTCTTGGTTTAGGGGATTTCTTCACTGGAGGAACCAGACAGTGGAAATGGAAGCAGTTCTTGCACTCATCACACCTACAGCAGCCCCAATGTACAGTACCTCCCATAAGTTCAACTCAAGAAACAAAACAAAACCCCAAAAACTAACCCTACCAAAGTAATGATAAACAACTAATAAATTAATTTAAAAAAATTTGGATTCTTTACCCTTTCTTTCCATGCAGACAGTTATAAAAAACAAATAAAACAAACACAAAGATAACAAAATCTGAACATATGAAAATGTTGTTATGCAGAGGCATTTTAAATCATTTCCAAGCTAAATATTTGTAACAAAAAATATTAAATATTATGCTACTATATAATAAAAATATATAATTTTTTTCATTACTTATTAGTAGTTTGGCAAGTATATATCTTTGGAAGTTATATAAATCATGTAACCAACAGTATGGCAGCAATCTATAAAGTGATGTTGCTCCTATTGAGTAGAAATTACTCAAAAACAGACTACAGAAACAAGTCTGCAAACTTCAGTGGACAGAAATTTTAAAACCTAGCACTCAAGAGCTTTTGCAGTTAAAGTTTAATGTGCCACAATACTGTCAACGAGTTACAAATCAAGAAAAGATTAATAGATGTGATATGACATCACAACCACACTGATAATTTACATCACATTTTTTCTATCTGATATATTACAGGTTTCTAATAAGTAGTGCATAAAAACAGTTCAACTAATACTATTTGTTGAATGCCATTCCTGAACATGCATTTTGCTTAATACTAGACCTTCTTAGGTCAGCTGATTTAAACCTTGTGCAAGATTCTGATTTAAGTTCACGAGATTACATTTGTATTCAAAAGAACTGCAGTCTGTGATTGTATTTGATTAATGAAGTTTGTTTGTGTGCATGTGTGTTTACTAAATGAATTGTGGTATTTACACCATACTAAACCAAGTTTTATGTCTAAACATATTTGAGTCACATGTAAGTCTTAATTATTAATTACAAGTGTAGTAGGAGATGGGAATGGTAGATTTATAGAATAGCTACAGGTCTGCAATTTAAAAGGAAATTATTTGACAAGAGTGCCTCATTGTTCACAAACACATACAAAAAAAAGCTAGAACAAATATTCTAGGAAACATGTTAATCAGAATAAGTAGAAAAAAGCAGGACAATATCAAACTACTATAAACACCAGTCATTTAAGTTTTGGTCAGGAAGGCCAGACTATACATGGGAAAGAAAAGTCAAAACCCTAAATCAAAAACTTATTAAATCATCATCCTGAATGAATGATAGAAATGATGATCCCGAATAAGATGGCTGTTGATCAATTGGAATGAATGATAGAAAGGATGATCCCGAATAAGATGTTCTCGTGTTCTTGTCCAACATGTATAATAGGTGAAATCAAAAAAGAAGGAAATAAAAATTACAAGTTGTAAGATTCAATAATTGCCAGTCTGTCTGTCTGTCATGTATTTTCTGAATGTTTAATCATAGGAACATACACACGTGTATGTGTATGCTTCTTTTCAAGAATACATTATAGGAAAATTATTAATTATTTGCAATTCCTAAAATTTCATATCGATATTGAAAGAAATATTTTGAAGATAGGAGCATGAAGGCAAAAAAATGCACGAAGAGAGGAATGTGATTATGTATATATATTTATTTACTGGTATTGGATTTATACAAATAAAATTATTTGAATCGAATATCTCCTCTTCAACAGTGGCTTTTTTTTTTTTGCATTCAGTAATATGACAAAGAATGGTGGCACCCAGCAGAAAAAAAAAATCTCCAAACCTTGGCAAACCTGAGCACTTTATTATGCTGGATACATCCATTGTATCCAAATCCAAAATTTTTGACAACAATGCAATGTAGTCAGTCTCTTTTGCTTAAAAACAAAGGCAATGTAATTTTGCTTATTGAAATAACACAAGGAATGACAAAAGATGGTTGTAAACCGCTCAATAGACAATCATATTGCATTTATGCTATGATCCAAGGCATTGGGTTGATTGCACGTTTTTTATTTTTTCATTACTACTTTTAGGAAAATTACCATCAAATTGTTGCAAAAGGTGCCTGCTAGTTAAGTAATACTGTGTTTGTCAATGTTTTAAATATTCATTAAACATCTAATATAATTACATGTTACAAGTTTCACTAACAGGTACAATGCTGTTGTTCACAAATAATTCATATATATATATTTTTTTTTGAAAATCTATCAAAGAAGAAGAATTTCACATTAAAATTACATAAATCTTCAAAGTTAAAACCATCAACATTAATACACAATAACGAGTTTATGACTTACGTACTTGAAAGAGTTCAGAATTCTTCTAAAGTAGAAAATTTTGAATTGGCCACTACGATTAGTTATATATATCATTGGTGATTTACTATGCCAGTTTCTGTAATTAGACTAAGCCTTATGAAGGATTATAAAAGTCTCTAATATATGACCACTATTTATAAAATATTCTGAATAGCCTTTTATTTTTATAAGAATGTAGTGGAAATAATGTTACAAAATAGTAGTACACTTCATAATCTAGATATTAAAAGACTTCTACATGTGTAAGGAGTTAAAATGATGCAACCCATTTCAATTTTCAGTCACATTGTACAAGTCACCATTTCAAAACAAATGCAAGTTTGCTCATTTTATTCTCTTGTTGAGAACAGCACATGTAGATTCTCCATAGCACTTCACAAATGTAGTGCTTTGTTTTTCATTCCATTATAACTGAGAAGTTATTTTCCACTGAAATACAACATTGAATTTCAAGTCAGAAATTGCCCACATTACAGCTTTAAATTACATGCTACTGGCAAATAGTATGCAATCATATATCCATACAGTACAGCTGATCATAAGAATATTCAATGTTTCCATTAGCCTCCATAAAAAACAATAAAAAAAGGAGTTACTATAGAACAGGAGTAAAGGTAATTTTTTTTTAAATGATCGTGTGGTTCTTTAAACAGACACTGCAGCTTCAATTAATATCTTTCAAACTAGACACATAAAACCAACACTGTGAAATTTAAACACACCGTAGAAAAATATTTGTCAATGGTGACATCTTGAACATAAAAGAGCATTGAAATATACAAGGCAAATTGCTTTAAACATCTAACAGAGCTAGATGAAATCAGTCTAGGAAGTTAAACTTATGGTCCCTAAACATATCCATAATATATTTTGGTTACATAGAAATTAACCAAAAGAAAACCTGACTTATGGGGTTCGTGTGTATCTTTAGTGAACCAAATTATTTGGGTTTTGTTAGACAGAATATTAGCAGCCAAGATTAAATATACAAGTTTCCTCAACACTTTATCAGGGTGTGCTAGGACGAGAACGCTATTAAGTTTTCTCTCGTCATTCACTATAAATTTGATCAAAAGGGATACAATACAAACATTAAAATATATTTAATAATAATAATGTATGCATGCATGTACAATATATCTATTTACTTCATAGGTAAACTGTTCTAAAAACTTTCTAGCAACCTTGTGAATGATGCATTATGTGATGTGTAACTGGTTTTCACTTAATACATTACATATAATGAAGAGCTAACAGCAACTACTTTATCCAAATAGTTGGATATTTCTCTAATAAAACCTTATAAAGATCATTTGAACAAAACAATGGTCCTTAACTGTTATTCTGTTAGAGAGGTTTTAGGCATTTCTTTGTATTTTCAGAGCTTACCATGCTGTAGCTGCATTTTTTTGTATATTTATATTGTTATGATTGTTAAAAATAACTAAATTATTTCAAAAAACACAAGTGTACAGATTCTGGAAAACTTGCATAATGACCACCACTAGCTGCAAATGGATTAAAACAAGTTTTCAGTTACATTGTTGTTTAAAAAGATTACCGTTATTGCCATGGCAAAATGATGAATATTTCTTCTGTATTTTTCTGCTATAATATCTACATAACTGAATGCCAAGTAGAATATGTTTTATTCCAAGTTAAATCATAAACTATTAATAATTTAACATTGGATTTAAGTATTAAAACTAATACCATGTAGTAATAATTCAGAAAATTGAAAATAATATTGTTTAATATCTGAATCTATGAACATCAAAAACAGCTTTTAACTCCAAATTGAGTTAACAAAATATGTTGTGGCTTTGGAGAAGTTAAAAACTATCAGTCTTATAGCCACTGAAACTTTAGTGATAAATAATATTAAAACAGTATTGAATAAAAGTACAACAATTATTCATTTCCTAGCTATTAATTGCTATAAAACAAACTCATACTTCAAGAATAACAGTCAGCTTAAAAAAAAAAAAAGGCTAGACAACTGATGTTTTTTTCACTACCACCTTATAAAAAAGTTTGTATATTAATTTTATTATTCAGCCCACTTAGCAAGATTTAACAACATTTCCAACACCAATATGAATGTATTTTCAAATGTTAGATTAAGATTAGATTTGATATTCTGGCTTAAAACTTGTTAACACAAACACACACTACTTTATGGTCTCTAAAAATACAAATTTCTTTCAATTCATACAAACACCTTCTTCTTCACTTAGATATAAAAAATAAAATTTTAAAGTTATTTAAGAAAAGATTTATCAACAGCATTCAGAAAGATGAAGGGCACTATAAAAACAAAGACCAGTTATGGTAATTATCGCTATTCCCGAGAAAAAACTTTTTTGGAATTTCAATGCCTAAAAGGTGAAAGTAGATCAGTATGAACAAGAAAAAAACTTTTCCCAAGAAAAAACTGTTTCTTGAACTTTCAATACCCAAATGGTGAAACTAGATCGGTATGAGCAAGAAAAAAAAAACATTCTCAAGGGGAAAAAAAAATGTTTCTTGGACTTTCAGTATCTAAAAGGTGAAACTAGATCAGTATGGGCAAGAAAAAACTATTCCCAAGAAAAAATGTTACATTGACTTCCAATACCTAAAAAAGTGAAGCTAGATTAGTACGAGCAAGAAAAAAAAAATCTATCTTGGACTTTAAGTATCTAAAACGTGAAAATAGATCAGTATGAGAAATTTCCATGACTGGAAAGTTTTAATCAAGTGTGCCAAGTCCAATTAAAGCAAAATTTATTGTTATTTAGAAAACAATAATTTGGAAAAATCAAATATAACTGCCTCAACTAACAGTTAAAATCCATATTAAGTTTTATCGCATTATACACAACCAATATGGTTTAATAAACTGAAAAATAACAAGGATATTGTTCTCATTGTATTACCAAAGAATGATGCCTCATATTTATCTACATAGCAATAAAAACACAAACCTCACAAGGTTGGTGTTGCTACCGGATTCTCCACAACGAACACAGTCAGTTCTTAGGTCTTTTTCTGCTGCTTTACGAGTAGGTGTTGAACTAAGCCTAGTCACTATCCGTAAAGGCTTAAAAATATAAAAGCTTGTTACTTATTCATAACTAAAATCAATCAAGACAGTATGATTGTGAGAGAGGAGGATTATGATTTGTGATGAAGAAGTTTCTATATCAATATATATTTTTTAAATCTGAGAGTAGAAAATTTACATTCTTCATTCAGCTGGATAATACAAAAGAATTCTATGTTATATTCCAAATCTGTTAAAACATGAGCCTTAATTTATAATTTTCAGCAAGCTAATTAAACTCTCAATAAAGAAATTAAAACAGTTTGATAAAAAGGAGCAAAGGTGTTACCAATACAACTTGTATATATGTTTAATATATAAAACAGACTGTAAAAAAGACATTGGCTGTTTTTAGGATGTTGAGGGCAGTAGGTTGGCTAGAAGCTGATCAAACACAACAAAAGCCATTGTAGAATAGTTACAAGTCTTTCAAATTGTGATTAGTAGGATGTGGATGTAAGTTAACCATTATTTGACAATATGGGCTCAAAAAAAACAGTGATTCTCAGAAGCAATACTTAAAAGCAGTAACTGGATGATAAATTAGCATGCAAATGGTTAAAAACTGGTTTCATAAGGGTAGGCCTTTAGGCAAAACGACTAATGACATTATGAGTAAACTGGAATGGATGGCATATTTTCTCTAACTTGTCACCACCAAAGAACTAATTTTCAGCAGTCAAGAATATGTGGATGAATGTTTTACTCGGATATAAATCACACTTCACAGTGCAGTCACATCACATATAAGACATGTACACATCTGAACAGTACCAGGCCTATATCCAACACAAATATATCAAAGATGTTTGGGCAGAGATCGGTAGTGGTGGCCACAATATCCTTTATGGGTTATGACATGTAACTATGAATATTATATGATATAGAAACAGTCATACAACCCTTAGGTGCAACTGATCAGAACTTTCCTTTGATCTATAATACTGCACACCCTCCACCATGCTCAACTGTTTTAACACTTCCTGGATTAAGAGGGTATCAAACAAATAAACTAGCCAGCACGCTCACTGAACTTGATTCCAACTGAACATGTACGAGTTAAATTTCCCCTCCAAGCAATAACAACAAACTGGAAGCAAATCTGATGAAGTAATGAGCCATATTACTCCAACAGCTCAATAATTCACTATTTTAAGCTTGCCACATTGGAATTGTTTAGTAGACTGCTGCCCAATGAAGGCTCTGGAAAGAGGGCCAAAAGCTTGCAAATAAAAAAAGTATTCTAACATAGAGAAAGTATGTGTATAATTCTACAAAACAATTCATTTTAACTAAAACAGAATGTTCTTATTTTATTTCATGAAAGTTGTTCTATTATTAGCCCAAAAGAATTTATATTTCCACACATATATCATAAAGCTTCAGTAATTTATATAAAAAAACATTTAATGGAGGTTAGCTATGTGGAATTAATCTCATGTATCTCTTATGAAGTAATAAACTGAAAACATACAATATTCATTTCACAACTAACCTCCTCTAACTTTTCCTCAGTTTCAGACAAAAGGACTTCTGCTTTTCGTTTGGCTGACACTCGAAGACCACCTCGACGACGACGGATATTTAATTTTTGTTTAGATACTTGTTTTGAAGAAGAGCTGTAAGTGGTATTTTCAGTTTCTTCTGTGCTTAGTGTGGAGTCTTTTGTGTCTGACACATCCATGCTTGTTTCTGTCTCTTCTCCTGGAAAACTGTCCATAGAATCAGCAGACACTCTCAACTGCCTTTGCTGTCTTCCTCTTCTCATTACCTAAAGCAGTTGAAGCAAAAACGGTTGAAATCAGTCACACTTTATACAAACTTTTCAACAGCTTATATGATTATTTAAAATCATTTACATGTCATGTGTGATTACAAAATACACCTAAACACACCCTTACACCATCACAGAAACTGCTACTACTCGTATCATTGACCTCTTTCTATACCTGGTACTAAATCCATAGTGTCAAGTGTAATACAGGTTTTTTTTATTTCTCAAATAATATATTAATTGTAGCATTTAACTTATCAATCTGATAAAACAAAACAATTTTTTAACTTACTGAAAGAAAAAAAAGCATAATTCTGCAGTGTTTTGAGGATTACACTGATTAGCATCACATGTTCAATGGCTTGAGTGTGCCTAAAATTCCAATAATTATTTTTTCAATGAAACTATAATTGTCTATATTATTCTAATAATGTCATACTCATTTTCTCGTCTATTCACACAAACTTTTACATACAAAGAAAGTAACTGTTAAAAACTAGAGGGGAACTCAGTAGAGTGCATACCTCTGCCACACAACATTGATCATGATCATATTCAGCTTTTAAAAATTTTAAAATGTGTCCATATGTCCATCATTATCAATGAACATGGATTAGTTCTGGCAGGACAATGAGGAATAATATTCTACATGTGTTCACCAAGTTTCATCAAAATCTGATAATTTTTGACTGGGTTATGGAGCAAAAATAGTGTGAAAAACCAATCCCATGTTAACAAATATGGACTTTTTGGATTTTCATGACCTTGACCCCCCAAAAACAATCACTTCTAAGTTGGGTCATAGTCCAACTTTGATCCAAATCCATTCAGCCATTTACGAAATCTTGCTGACAAAACACACACATACACAGTGGTGAAAACATAACCTCTGCCACTGAAGGTGACAGAGGTAAATAGAAAAAATAAGCTGGATTTTTGAAAATATGATTAATTTTTATATTAATTATTTATATTTGTTACTTATCTTTACTTAATGAAGGACTTGTGCAAAAAATAGCATAAAACACTGATGAACTGCAAAAGCATTGATCAGTAGGGACACAATTTCCACTTGTATCCTAGGTCCTATACTGATAAAGGCAATATTTTTCCAACTACATTATGGGTCAAGCTCGGTTTCTCTCTAACAGTTTTAGTTTGTTTTCAATAACTAAAGAGTTCTTGTATGCGTTGTTTGATTAACAGTAAATTTATGAACACACACAAATAGTTTTTCTGCCATCTGAATAGTTTGCCACTGCAGAATTCCTAGCTTATCATACTCACTAACCCTAAATATCTTTACTTTTTATCTTCTTCTGTAAGAATATCCAGTAGATTTGAACATACATAATGTAACACAGCTATCTACCACTTACCCTAGTTTTGAATTGCTGATTAGAGAGAAGTCAAGCAGCTGGCAGCACACACCAACTCTTGAGCTACTCTTTTATCAATTAATACTAGGATTGATTGTGACATTAAAATGCCTCAACAGGTGAAATAGCAAACCTGTCTGTTGGTACCAGGTATCGAATCCATGAATAATTCATGAGGCAACCACCATAACTACCAGACCATAATACAGCTATTACTACTACTGCTGACGCAAATGTAAACAATGGTATGCATGTCTTGTGCTCTAATCTGAAGTTACGCAAATACACAGTGATGCTTGTTGTTAGTGTTTACCTTGTTTGGACTAAATAACAGTATAGCTTTAACATAGTCTACTCCTTACTTATTAAAATGTTAAATGTAACCAGTGTTAGTTAGGGTAAGGTTGCTTTAAAAACAAAAGTTATGGCAAGTTAATATTCATCATGCTTTATTCACTCAAAAAAAAAAAAAAAGTTTGATTGCTGAATACCTTGCTCATTTAACTGCATTTGACAAAAATTACAAGGTATATACTGAGTTAACAGCCAAACAATATGTTAAACCATTAAGTCAACCTATTTATACACATAGAACTCCATTTAATTACCACTAGATCTAGCTAGATAGAAAGTACTGAGTAGAGAAAACAAAAGTGTTATTGTTGTCGTATACTGCTCAAACATTTCTTAGTACAGTTGGACTTCTCCGTTTCTCACACACTTGTGTTTCTCCAGTTTCACCCAGCTTGGACTATTAAAATCTAAGTTTACAAGAATATGCCCAAGTAGCATTTTGCAGAACCAACAAAACAACATGAGTATAAAAATACTTTTTTTTCCCATCTTATGGTTTTCCAATTTCATTTGTATGACCTGTTGAACCTCCTAAATGCATATCAAAAGTTTTTTAAGGTAAATGCTTATATTTCATTTCTCTCTCTTTCTCTACAAAATTACTAACTGCAGCTATTATCATCAACATACAGTGCAATGAAATGTTTAAAATTAAGAAACAGAAAAAACGTACTAACCTTTTAATTTGTTGTAGAATATCTTAAAAGATCTTTTGGTTATATTCATAATTTCAGGGCTTTTCCTTTTCATATATAGTTAATTTTTAATGTTTTATTTTCCTTCCCTGTTCCTTAGATTTAATTACTAATCTCAACACAAGTCAACGGTGCCTCAGGGAATAATAACAGTATCTTCAGTAGAGATGCATAAGCCTTGAGAACTGATGCAAAGTATGATATATACTTTAAAAAAATGTTTAAATCTTTCAATTATGCATTTTAAAACATAAATAATATATAATTAACTAAGATATAAAAGTAAGACCTACATACAATTTAATTGTCTCTAACTATAACATATTTAGCTAAAAAAACTATGCTATTGGGGATCAAGCAGCCAACAATACTACAGGCAACTGCACACCAATTTCTAAATAACTGTTGTTGGCTTATAGTGTAAAATGAGCACTTTCTAATGACTATAGTATAGTACAATGAAATGTTTAATATTAAGACATAGGAAAAATGTATGTACCTTTTAATATTTCATCAAATATTCTTAAAACATCATATTTTGGTTATATTTTTAACTGTACACATTTACATTTTCACATATAGTTTATTTTTAATGTTTTATTTTCCTTTCCTTTTGCATTGTTATTATTTATCATGACATACATCAATGGGCATAGAAACTTTAGCAATCTGCAGAATGTGTTGGCACGCGTATATTACACTAACTCTTGTGAACTGAGAAGGCATTGGGTTATATAAAAATAATTATTAAACCTTTCAAATATGCTTCTTAACACATAATTAAGTAAAATATAAGATGAAAACCTAAATACAATTCAACTGTCTATCTAACTAACATATTTCTAGGTGATAAACAATGCTATCATGAGAGAATAATCAATTAGTTGGATGTACTTGATTAATAAGCTGAACAATTAATCAATTAGCAAATTCCACCGATCATAAAGCTTTACTACTAATAATAATAAAACCACTAATTGTATTCTCAAGGGGATGAAAGTTTATCAAATAAAAACTTTTGCTTTGGGATGAGCAGAAAAGAACTAAAGAAAAATTGATAAGTACTTTGTTAATGTATAGTTTTAACTTACTGCTGATCAAGATCTTATACGACTGTTTCACTGTATGCAATAATAGTCACCAATAAAACCACTCTTATCATTTCAAAGCCAGTTTTATAAATGACTAGCTGGATTACCCGTCCATTGGATGAGTGAAATAAAAACTTGTTTGTAACAAAGGATAGGAAATTGTACTTCTCTTAACATAAAGTGCAATAACAATACATAAAGGTACCAATGCTGAAAAGAAAGACATTCGGTTTTCAAGAATTCTATCAATATGAAATTAGATGGGGGGGTGTCCAACCTTCCTCATCTAAATACTTCGCACAATATTTAACAAAATGATGCTATGTGAAAATAAGTAATATCAAATATAATTTTCAAAGCAACAAACAAGGTATTCATGATGTACTTAACATAAAAACTTCAAAAGAATAAAAAAGCTCACGATGAAACAATAAGTTTATCTTCATATTTGCAGCAAAAAAGGAAAACACCTGGAAAGCACTTTTTTTTAGTATAGTTGAAAAATGCTTTTCCCATTTATAAAATCCACAATATTCACTAAATGAGTTACAAAATTACAAACTACAATGTCTGAAAACTTTTTTTTTAAACTGGTACTCACCCTTCTCTCCACTAAAGCTGGCTTGTTAACTGGATTGAATTTTGTTGGGCCTTTGACATGATCACGTAACTTTCGTGGTGCATTTGGGTCTACTTCTTCCTCATGGTCATCCTCTTCAGTCTTGTCACATTCGCTACACTGCCTAAGTAGGAAAATCTGTTAATAGTAAATATGCTTTCATGGGCATTTTACATTTAATATTTCATACTTACAAAAAAGGTTTTTAACAAAAATATCAAAACTTATAAGCTATGATCACATGATACACACACACACTTATTTCGATTATGCATGATGCATAAAAAACTAGTGCTAAGACTAATAGGTTTAATTGATTATAACATTTACAAAATGTAAGTTTGTCTTTATCATATTACATTACTCAAGTCAAACATTAATGCATTGTATTATAAACATTCAAACTGATCTAACTCATTACATACAATATTAAAGCATTGCAATAGAAGAAAATATTTCTTTAAAAACTTTGTCACTGTAATTCACTTTTAAAAAATATTTTTTGAAAATATCAGGTATAAAATTATTGAGAGAAAAGAATAACCTACTTGTGAAATAATAGATTTTACTTGTATTCATTACGGCATCACTTAAATAAACTTTTAAAATTAGAAGTGCGTGTATATATATATATATATATATATATTAAAAAAAAAATTATTTTGTGATTATTTCAACATGTTCCAAAAGAAAATAAGTGATTGTGACTTTCCTTAACTTTTTTCAAAGTATACTATGGCATTCATAGCTTCCTAGGACGAAAGTCAAAATATATTTGAACAAAACAGCACCAATTTGAACTCTGTAATTTCATAAGTATAGTTTTATAAAAACAATTAGCCAATCACTGTTCCTCAACTTTGGTATTATATAAACTTCCAACATCTCATCTTTGAAACATCATAGGCTTATGATCTAAACACATAATGAAAGATTTTTTTTCTGTTCTTTTCAGAGATCAGTAAAAAGGATAAAAGCTCAGCTTTGTGTTATTTTGCTAGAAGAAGAAAAAAAAGGTTGCAAACAGCTTCTACCACAATTACAGTCCTGATTTTTTTAAAGCTTGCTTTATCACATCATACTTCGTTTCAACTGTACCATTGCACTATGATAAGAAAACAAATGTTTCATGTGGAATAAGATCAGGCTGAGATTTGTTTGTAGTAGTGCGATGCTTTGCACTCAACTGTATCAAGTTTTGTTTTGCTGACAAGGCCACCTGTTTGTTAATCCTTATTGGCCAAAGAAACTGCTAGAATGGACAAAAAAAAAAAAAAGCTTGTCTGTTGAATAATTCAAAAGAATAAATTAATAGCATAAATGAAATACATGAAAAATATAGGTTCCCTGTAGTGAGTAAAAGACAAAACACCATACATTATTATATATCTATAATGAAATCTTCTGGTCAAAAGTTAATTTTTTTGTTGTCTTTCAAAATTTGTAGTGCACACGGGAGGGATTTACACATTTTGATTAAAAGGTTGGAGAAAAACGACCTTTAAACTCCAGATAACTAGAAAATAACTTTTTATTTGAACCAACATTTCATCATGGTTAGTACATACAAATGATTGATTCATATAAAAATTAAAATAAGCTTGCTTATAATGTTAGTAATGGTAAAAAAGTTATATTTATTGTATGTCAGTAACAGTAAATACTTTGAAACAGCATGTGATGAAATTCTTGAATCAAAACAGACAAAATTTGTAGTTTTATAGAATAAAGACTTTAACTGAAAGGTTTCTAAGAATTGAGAAAGATGTAAAAATCAGTAATTGAACTACAACAAAGGTAAGCGTATACTTCTTAAAGAATAACATTTCATAAAGAAATCTTTTTGAATTTCCATAGCTGAGAATTCGTGCAAGTGTGATATAAAAATATGATACTAATTTCCAAAGCTGAAAATTCATGCAAGTATCATATCAAAACAAGAGGGAATCCTCAGTAGCCGTGGCACTTGAAATTATTTTAGGCAGGATTAGAGTAAATTAATCCGAGACCACGGACGTGGTCAAACAACTTTAAAACTCAGAGCCATTCTATGAGCACTATGCCATGGCTAACAAGTTATTTTACTTCACAGAAGCTACATAATCTTAGTATCTTCAACTCAAATTGCAAACAATTTCATCCAGTAGTTTTGTTTTTCCAATGCAATAAAACAAGCTATATGACAGGTGTGTCAAACCAAGGCACACGAGTAATTAAGGATTAATAACCTAATACACATTCAAAACTAATTTGTTTAAACGTCTAGGGAATAACAAAGTAATTTCAGTTTTAATTAATTATCGTTCCGAAGAAATGTATAATAATTATGGTAACTTTAATGCATATTTATTCAAATATTTTAGTTATATCCCAGCAAAACATTACAAATAAATCCTAAAAAAAAAGTCAACCATTCAGTTAATTTCTGTAATCAATTTCTATTAATATTTGTAATGACAATAAAAAAACATACAACACTAAATCAATATCATGACCAGCTAATAATTATGCTCCCATAAGCCTGGCTAGACTGAAAAGATGCTCTTTATGTAACAACCACATCAAAGATACACATGCAAACATATAATCACATATCTTATGTTACTATTAAATTTACCTGGCTAGACTAATGAAAACTGATATTGTTCTAACTCAAATGATCTGTTACAGTATCTTATATTATTATCTTACCCAGGCTAATGAAAGCCAATACTGTCCCAAATTGCAGTTCTCATCGAATCAAAAAATGAAACTTTAAATTATTTCTGGTTTTATGTAACATTACTGAGTAAGCCACCTGAAACTTAGGAAAATTGATGTATCTAATTTCAAGTATTAGATATGATTAACCCTACTGACACAGGTGGGGGTCAGAGGGCATGTCATCACATTTATAGGCTTGCATTCAAAATTTTATTTAACTATTATTTTATAAATGTATGTCTAAGTTTGGCATCAATATTTTTGTTTATAATTCAATTTTAGTATTATATATTAGTTAATTTCTTAATTTGAAAGTAAATATTAAAAAGAAAAGGCTAAATATCGATTTTTGTGTGTCATGTGGTATGTCACCTTCTGAGTTTCATGAGATTACATTTTATTGTGCTGACAGCACAACGTTTAGTTTCTTATGAATTAGAAACAAATTTACAATATTGGCAAGCTATAATATAAAATAAGAGCCCCCCCTACCTTCTCTATTTGCTGAGATATCTCAATATTTAGTGAATCAACCATATTGACTCTGCCCACCACTTGAGAAGACTTGTTTATCTAGGCCTACTTTTGTATACCAATAACTTTATAACCAACTGAAAGCTCTACATTTCTTCTACATAATTCTGTTAGTCTTCCCAAGTTATTTAGGAGAGAGAAGCTCTTATATCATTGGAAAGTTTGAAATATTATGCTCAAGGATATTTACTGAACAGAAATTAGATTTTTTAGACCTAAATACAATTTAGTTAATTTTTGGGTTATCGGTACAGTAATTTATAATTTTCCATCTCCACACGTGAAGTTGGACAAGTATAACCCACTGGTGAAAACAAGGACTTCATTGCATCGTAAGTAGTAGAGATCATTGTTTTCCAAATATTTTTTTTATTTACTGACATTTAAGTATTTATTTGAAAATAATAATAATAATAATAATAATAATATATATTTTTTAGACCTAAATACAATTTAGTTAATTTTTGGGTTATCGGTACAGTAATTTATCGATATATGTAAGAGATTTGTACTTTTTTTTTTTTATTTTAAATGAGTATAATTGTTTATTGAACTGGTGTTATTTTACTATTTACAATGAGGTAGAATAAAAACAAATTATAAAAACTAAGGACTTGGTAATTTAGGAAATGTTTATTTATGTAATTTGAGAAAGATAGAATGCCTTATAAACGTCAAAGAAATACATTTATCACTGAAAAACTGATCTACACATGAAGAGGATCATCTTTACGTACAAGTGTATAGATTAAGGAAAATTTATACAAAAATGTTTTGTAAAAAAACAAAGTGAAAACTAAGAAAAAAATGGAGAAGTTTTAGAACATATTGTACATTCAAACAAAAAAGTAATCTCTGAATAATTTGTTTCTAAAGTGATATGTAAGAAAGCTAAGCCAAAAATACCAGTTCAACCAAAACAGATCATATTCATATTACTGGAAACTATAAATTAATTGGTTACTGTGTAAGCATGGTAATGTAGGAAATAGGATGTTCATAAGCACTTACACACGTTTACATTTCACTAAATCCGACCACCCAGAAGGATAACTAATATTCAAATATCTACCAAGTTTATTGGATCACTGGGACTTTCTATAAAGTCATAATGTAAACATTTTATAATACTTTAGACAAATCATTATACTGTCAACAAGTTGATAAATCCTATCCCACTGTGTTTTGAAAGCAGGGAAATTTCTGAGAATTGCACCACATGAGCTTATTTGATATTGACAGTGTCAAACCAAGTAAGGAGTGTGATTCATTGCTTTATATTTGCCAGATTTTTACTTCAGCTGCTAACAGTAGAACAAACATAGGAATTAGGAGTGAAAAAGATCAAAAGAAACTCTCAGGAGATTTACTTTGGAATTTAGTGTTCCATACTGATAAACGACAGACAGTACTATTCATTTTGTTTCATCTAGTTTCTAAGCCAGCTCCTAACAATAAAAGTACTGCAGAAAATAAGTGTGAAAAGGTGAGAAGTATAAACTCTGACCATAAGTTCTTTGTGATCAATACTAACAATACATTTTGCACTTTGCAACCTTTATTTTCATTATACTTTGATTACTTGTCTTACAACCTGGAAAATCAAGTATAATGTAAGAGTAGAGAAAATGACAGATAAAATATAAAGCTTTACTGAAAAGTGTGTTTGATATTTAATTATGACATTTTTATTTTTCTCTTGTTTTATTTATTTATTTATTATTATAAAAATAACTAAAATGTAAAAAAAAAATAGAAATTTATTAGGTAAGATAATAAAAAAAATAAAAATCTTCATGGGGTATACCAGCGAGTAGCTTGCGCATTATGGTGTTCAATATGGTAAGTGAGATGCACGTTCGCTGTGTAATTTTCAACTTGTGTCAGGGTATTTCTAGTCAGACACAATTCAAAGGTCAATAAAATAAAAAAATAATATATATAAAAATAGATGCATACTGTTATGAGAATTAAGCTATTTAGAATAAACATTTGTGGTTCCACATTACAATTTGCAGTCATTCTAAAACAAAAGAAAGGATAATTTAGATTTATTTCCTAATTTTTATGATGGTTATAAGGTCAGTCAAATCATCTAAGACCATATAGTTAGGGTAGAGAAAATAGTAAACAAAATATAAAATTGTACTGAAGGAAAAACATTTGAAATGTGTTTAGGATGTTTTAGAGATTATGCAAATGAAATCTGAGATGAAAAGAAGTATTTTTAATCTTAACATAAAAATCACTTTGCACACAGACTATTCAAAACAAATACTCAATATCTCAAGGGCAAATTTTTTTTTAGTTTATCAAAAATACTTCACTAAAACATCTGATTTTTTGTATGTAAAAGACTTGTAATGTTTACTGAAAGTCTGACAAATTTTGTGAAGATACACATATTATATACAAAAGTTAGTAGTATCAAAACTATAAGGACTTTAAATGAGTACAAAGTGGTAACTTCATTGTTGTGTGGAAAAGAGTTAAATGCTTTAATGGTAAACAGTGATAGGCAATAGTTTAGAGCAATTTCAGAATCCTTGATTATAGGAATGAAAGAAATTTAAAAACAAATTCTTATATGAAGTTGTATGTGGAATACAAATCACTGCACAATGGGCAAATGATCAATTCTTTTAGTCACCATAGATTGTCAACTCCAGAATGACTGTGATTACTTATTGTCATATCTCTGTAAAAAGAGTATTATAAATAATTTATAGCAAAGTATTTATATATGTAAAATTCTGTGTTTCTTACCAGCCTTGAGACTTGGTCTTCTTTGGCATTCGAGTGAGTGGTGGATCTAAACAATACAGGTGATAATGAAGTTGGCAGCTGTCACACTTTGCCAGTTGGTGTTGGTCTTTTGACTGGTGACAAATTCCACATCTACTAAAACATACTAATTGTAATATATAACAACCAAAGACTTATTATATTTATGGACAGAAATATTTAAAGAACAGAATCTAAACTCTGACAACACTTTTTAAATAGTTTTAATAAGCTCTTAACCTCCTTTCACTTTAATATATCTACTAGGCATTGTTGATATATGCATTCATTAGCTGACTACAATTTAGTAAAAAGAATTACAGAATATGAACAATAGTAATTAAATAAAGAGCCAACTGTTTACCCTCTTGCTACAAATAGGTTAAAGTGAGCATGTCATGATCTTTCACAGATACATTGAAAATTTAAATTAATTTATTATCAACACATATGAAAAAACTTGACACCATAACGTAGTTATTAAATCACATTTTAATATTAGTTTTAAGTTATTAATTTTTTAAAGAAATCTCAATTTTCCCTTTAGAAAATTGGGTCATTTGTTCTTTCCTCTTCTCTAATCTATTCATCACCCTTCTCTGAAATAAGGAAATTATCATAAATTTCTCATTATAATAGAGGCAAAGTCAAATGTTTATAGCTTTCAATCATATTTGTTTACAGAACCATAAACTAGAAAATCAGACCCACTTGCCACACCCACCTGTCACATCCTCTCTTTCATAAATTGCCAATAGTTCTCACTAACATTTTATACTATTTACAACCAGTGCAAAGCCAAATTTTTAATCTATCTAATGACATATTATATTATGCTGTTTTCAGTACAGAGTATCTTGTCTTCAGTTTGAAGGTTTCTATCTTGGTGCTAAGATCAAGAATATTGATGAATTTTTTAAGGCTCCTATGCAATAGTTAGAAAGCCAGTTTGCTTTATGTATTATTATTTTGTGTTCTTAGATGCATTATTTAAATTAATAAAAATCATTTAGTTGTACCATCAATATACAAAAAAAGGGGGAGACTTAAGTTTCAACTGCAAAAAACAAGAGATCAAAGGTAAGTACTATATTTCTTGTTTTTCATGTATATATTTTATTTATTGTTATAAAAGTAACTAAAACATAAAAAATACATTAAGTTAGATAAGGTTAGTTTGGGTAAGATAATGAACAATAATAATAAAAAAAGATATTCACAAGGTATGCTCATGAGTAGTTCACGTGGTATGTTGTTAATCCTATATTCCTGGGCATCATCTACAGCACATCACAAGGTTTTAGTGACTTACATTCAAAATGTTATTAAACTACTTTTTGTTTATGTTATACCAATTAGCATAGTGTAAAATTGTAGCTAATAATCTACATTTTAATAGTATACATGTTTTAAGTTCTTAATTTTATAAGGCAATATTTAAAAAAATTCTTAATTTCCCCCTAGTGTGAGAAATGTACATATCTTCTCTAGGCATCCCCTCTTCTCTATTTTATTCACCAGCCTTTCAATATGTATGAAATTTAACGTAAATTACTCACTATAAAATTGTCATTGCTCAGAAAAAACCATAATTTTTATAGCCTTCAACTTTGTTTGGTTACAGAGCCATCAAATAAAAAGTCAGACCCCTCTTGCCACACCCACCTGTCACATCCTTTTTTTCACGATTTGTTACTCTCTTACGCTTAATTCTATATTAGGTATAACCAATAGAAAGCCAAGGTTTACATCTATTAATGACCTATTATATTACGTTGTTTTCTGCATGGAGAATTGTCAATTTCTCTATTACTACAAACTTTATTTCCACAGGAAAGATAATGACTACCTTGGATGAACTTGTAATGGCTCTTGTCGCATAGTTATAAAGCCAGAATAATTGTGATAGTTAAGGGAAGTTGTCTGCTTTTTGCATGTTATTATTATATGTTTTTTGATGCATTACATAAAACTTATTTAGTCCATTACCATCATCAGTGTAAAAAAAGGCAGGGTTAAGTGTCATCGACAGTTAATAGAAAAAAAAAAAAGAAGAAGAAAGAGAGAGAGAGAGAGAGACCTGGGTAAGTTACTTTTTCTTTGTTTTTCATGTTTATTCTTTATTTATTATTATAAAAGTACCTAAATGACAAAAATTGGGTATTTATTTAGGTTAGTTAAGGTTAGATTAG